AATGAACGCCAAGAAACCCATAAAAAAGAATTGGATGAACTTTATAAAAAGGTAGAAAAGTTGCAAGAGGAAAAAACCCAAGTAGCGGCTCAGATTAATGAAACTAATGATAGTCAAGAAAAAGCTAAATTACAGGCTCAATTAGCCTCTTTGGAAAACCAAATTAAAGATGTTAAAGGCCAAATTAGTAAAAAAGAGAAGCAAGTTGCTAATGATGAAAAAGCGATTGATAATTTGTTTAAAGAGATTAGCAATGATACCTCTCTAACTCCCGAGCAAGTGCAGAATAGGGCTAATAATCCTGATTTAAAATCCTGACTCAATTGAGGAATTATTTTTATTGTGATGATAGTGGCGATAATGATAACTAAAATGATTGTTGGTTTATTAAAGAGTATAAATAAAGGAACGAAAGAATAAATATGGTAGTTAGTAAAGGTAGGCTTGGTTTTGGTCTGTTTTCTTTTGAAACCACTGATGACAGCAAAGAAATGGATATTCAATTAAAAATGGAGCAAGAAAAAACCAAGTTGCGAGAATTAGAATTAAACAATGAGAAAGCGATTAATGAAAAAAACCAGGAAACTTTATTAGCCATTGAGAAAATTCGGGCTGAAGCTAAAAAAGCTAACCAAGAAAGTAATCCTCAAATAAAAAAAGAAAAAAAGGAAGAAATTCAAAAAGATTGGCAAGAAGTAAAGCGGATGATTGAAGAAAATAATAAGCAAATAGTAGAAAGCATTGGTGAAAAGACTAGCAAATTAGAAGAACAGCAAGTGCAAATTGCGGCTGATTTAAAAGATGCTCGCCAAAAGGGTGATAAAAGAGCCGAGCAAATTGCCTTAAAGGCAATGGCGGAAGTGAATAAGAAATTAGGGTTAGTGAAAGGAGTAGCGACTAACTTAGTAAATGGTAAAGATATCGATGAATTAGCCCAAACTACTGACCAGCCTTGGTATCAAAAAATTGTTTGGTCGTCTCCTAAAAATTGAATATTGCTGGTTTTTTTGCTAGGCTTGCTTTATTTAGTTTACCGAGTTATTATGTGAGGTTGAGAAAAGGTGAAGAGTATGATTTGAGGTGATGATTAATTATGATAAAGAATATGTACCAATATGACTTACGAAATATCCCCCCAAGATTTTTGTGCCATTGTCCGCAATCCCCGTTGCCAAGGTAAAGAAATAGAAAATGGTCTCGCTAAAGAAGGTCATCCCCATTGTAACTGATGTAAAGGTAATTATTTTGTAGGTGGGGAATGTAATTATGGAGGACAACATAAAATGAGTGATGACTTATGTCAGATTAATAAAAACTT